CTTTCTTTTATAATTCTTAAGATTTCTACAAATCCATATACTTTTATCATTGTTCCTTAACTAAGTCTGCCATATGATCTGTGGTATATTTCCTGTTAATCTCTGTGTAAATTAGTTATGCTTGCAAACCCAGAACAGCTAGCAGTGGTGGACTCTTTTACCTTTTGTAAGAGTTACTTCAACTTTCAACAGTTGTTAAACATTTTTATTTCAAATTTGGACTAAGACATTTTCTGCATTTTCTATAAGCTCTTTGTTGGACACTTTGGAGATAGCAGTACTGTCCTTTCATTATTTCTATTATATCTTCCCAGAAGACATAACTGAAGTGGTGGAGGGAAATATTTCAGAAGCCTTTTGTTGTGAACTCTTTCATCTATCTAGATGACACTTTGTCCTGTAAAGGATCTACCTGCTATTTTCATCTACCTACTTCATTCCGTTCTGTTCAAAGTTGAAATAGATGCAGTTATTTTGATATTTTATAGCCTACAGCTGAATATTTTGTTGAATCAAATCTTCTATTGGGTTATATCAAATCTTTATGCCTTCAAATCTCAAATATGAATTGGATCTCAGCTGATTTGCACATCTCTAATGTTTATGCCATTACCCAAATACATTTTCCCCATGCTTTGATCCAAATATGTAAAAGTATGATATATTGTACTCATATTGTAGAAACATCTAAAGCCAGTTTATCTCAGGAAAGTAAGTGATATTTTATTGTATGAGGTCTAATTAACCTTTATAGAATTATCTTCTAAACAGAACTAGCAACTGAACTGTATTTCATTGGCAATGGAATGGTGTCCTCCACTGCATCTGAGACACTAGGCAAATGTAGGGTTTAGAAGACAAACCATGTAGCACATGTAGCTGTCTTACAAGCAGCAATGACCAGGAGACACTCAGAAGGAATGTCCAGAGTCTGTAAGCTATGTCACCTGAGATGGTGGCTTTGCTCTGCTTTATAGTAGGGTTGGACTGACTGACTCTATGGAATTCATTAGCTAGTTATACCAAGGAAACAGCCATAATGAAACCAGGCCTGGTGCAACTTTTTTGAAATCATATTTATTGAAAAATTTCATATAATAATAATGAACCAGCCTGATATTTTGGTACAACTAGAGAAACAGATCCTATTAAGTAGCCAAGTTTACTAAATTCAGTGATAAATGCTAATACTTGTAGCAAATCCAAGTGTGATAGCTCAGTATCAAGAGCTGGTGTCCTGTTATCTTGTTGTTTGTATCACTACTAAAACAAACATATCAACACAACCAAATGCCTGAAAAGAGCACAGCTCTTCAGGAATATAGACACAAGAAGGATTAATTCATTAGCATCTCAAATTGCACATCAAGCAATAGCAATTTATATAGTGAATAATGGTCAAATTCACGTGGCCACTTGGGTTATTTCAGCAGTTTGAAATAAAAGACCAAGGTCGCTGTTTGTTATGAACAAATAATTTAATGATCAGTGGACAAGACAACTTGTTATTCAGGGGGAAAAATCAAGATGCACACACACATATTATTCCCTTTTAAGAGTTAAGCAACATTATGCAGAGTCAGAAAAAGAATAAGAAATAGCAAAAGAAATTAAGACATGAGATAAGAAAAAGAAAAGGAAGCCTACTAAAACTAGTTTACATCAAGACTTTTCACAATACTTCTCCATGATTTTCTGTCTTTGCAAACCATCCTTGTTTCCACCTCATTCATATCACAGTGTACATTGTCTGCTGTTTTTTAAACTTCTTACCTCTCTTTTTCAGGATCTCATTAACTCCATTTGACCCCAACTTTCTTTTCCCTCTCAGCCGGTTCATTCTTCCTTCACGTGTTTATTTTGCAAGTCAATATTCCTTCTCTCTCTGACTAAACCACCTCAATGCACTTCTTTCATCACTCACTTCTATTCTTAGTCCACACTCATTCAGCACTTACTCATTCCTAACCTTATTCCTTCTTGTTTTATCACCCACACTTGCTAAGTATCCCATTCCCACCATTTTCAGCTTCTCCTGACATACCCAATTCTCACTTGCATATAAAAGTGAGCTGAAGAACGCTATTATACATAGCAATTGATGCTTCTTTTGGTAAATATTCATTTCTTGCAACAAATCACATAATACTCACCACTTTTCTATGAGCATTTGCACATTTTAAAATGTCTTCATATTCTCATCTTAAGTAAGCATTCTACCACGGTATAAAATTCATCTACTTGCTCTAGCTTTTTACAATCTATGTATAAATTTAGAATTGTTCACTCCATTTTTCTTGTTAAACACAACTGCCTTGGTCTTTCATAAAATTTTCAGATTAATACGGCTTGTTGCATCATACAATCTATCTGACATCTGCAGCAAAATTATTTGGGATTTGCATGGCATTATCTGCTTAGACATATATCCACATCACCAACCAACACACTGCTAATATCACCACAAGAACTCCTTGTGCACTTATCCATAAATACATTAAACAACCAATGGGACATCACCTATCCTTGTCTTATCCCAGTTGAAGGCTGAACCATTCACTAAGCGTTCAGTTTCTTTTCACATGTCCTTTGCTTCTCTAATATTCCTTATATTGCATTCAGAAACCAAACTTTAACTCAATATTCATGTAAAACATTCCATAATTTGAGTCAATTGATTTTATCATAACTTTCTCTAAATCAACCAATGTACAATACATTTTCTCACATTAATACATTTTTCAGTTGACTTACTAAAGAGCAAAAATCTTGGTCTTCATACTCCCTGTCTGACAGGTCCATATAGGGGGGTTTTTTGCAACATTTCCAGAAGTGGTTTGTCTGTACCTTCTTCTAGAATGTTTTTTGACCTCCCATTCAGCTGGCTTTCATGCCTAAGGAGGACTAGAACATGGGCCTACCAGTCCTAGTCTAGCACCTTTAACTACCGTACCAAGCTCTCTCAGTAAATGTATACATAGTGGCTTCTTCTTGCATAGTGAGTTGGAAACAATATGGGAATCAGATATACAAGCCTCTTTACCTAAGATTCATGGTTATACAAATGGCACAAAAATTGATTGAAATCAGTTTTGGTCAAAATTAGGGAAAACCTAGTGCAAGTATTTTACAAATGGTATGTAATGCCAAAGAAATTTAAGATGATAAATTCTAGCATAAGTCCCATTGTTGGAGAAAATTTAAAGAAATAAGTACATATTATATGTGGTGGTCTTGTTCAACAGTTTTGGACTGAAATCTTCATTAAAATAAGACAAATTACAACTCAGTCTGTTTTATTAGTCCCTAGGTTGGCCTAATCAAGTTTTTTCAATAACCCAAATGACACCTTAGAGCACTAAGAGTTAACAGATTTGCTGTGGTTGCTGTTTGCAGTCAGACCGGTAATAGAAAGCTCTTGAAAACCTGGAAAGGATTTGAAAATTTCCATAAGGTAGCAAATACATTGGAAAACTGCCTTAATGGAAAAGTTGACCGAAAAAGAAAAAAAGGGAAAGCGGTCACTATTTTGATAATTCAGAAGATTATTTTTACCCTGTCTGGTTTAAACTTAAGCACAACAAAGGCAGAATGATTTTTTTACTACACAGTTCCATGTTCCTTGATAATTTAACTATTTTTCAGTAGTATTTATGACTACCTTTTCATCAATTTTTTCTTGGTCGCTAACATAGCATTCTCCCCATCTATAATAAGCAATCAAATAAATTATGCTTTTAGATTTATGGTAATTCCTTTGCCATGTGAACATATGAATAAACTCATGCCTAACCAAATATTCAAAACAAGCATACTTTAAGCAGATACTCACCAGTTGCCATTCTCATTTACTCTTGGATCTTCAAATGACCCAACCACTTCTTCTATATTCTTTTATCTCATCTCCACCCATTCATTCATGTTACCTGGCAGAATATTTTTCATCTGTGATATGCCTTTATTCACAATGTTGCACAATTTTCCCCCAAATAAATATCTAATTATCCCAATATTGTTGGATATTGGCTGGAGTATAATATCCAACTGCCATCAGCTATGCATTCATGCTTGCATACACACCCATGACAGTGCCAACTCACACTTTCTGACATACATCATTCAAAATTAAACCTTCATCTTTATTTCCTTGCATGTATTCATCAACTCTACTATATAAGATCAGACCACGGTCATTCAGATCTATTATATCCTTTCCCTTTCTTTTAGTTTTACAGATACACAACGTATTTATTTTTCTTTCATTCATTTCAATGGTAAATTAATGTTCTTTAAAATATAATCCTGTTATCTTCAAATTCGCAGTCCGTAAGCAATTATCATCATGAGAAGAGCCTTACTGGGTTTGGTCAGTTGAAGGTTCCACATAATATAGAGGAAACTAAGTTACTAGCCTTATTCATACCTGTGCCACAATGAACATTCTCTGCTAAGGGTAAGGGCAGTATCAAACACATTTGGCACATTTTGACTTGCATGCAGGGGTTTCTTAAGAGGGGGGTAAATGATGTAAAAATGGTGGACATAACTGAGCAATCAAAGCCCACCCCTTTTTACACGCATTTAATGCACTCAACATACATGAAAACGTGGAGGGGCTTAATTGGCTGGTCGCACACACCATTTTGCTGTCGTTGATCCTCCCTGTGGATGTCCCTGTGGATGTCCCTTAAGATATTGTGTGATCCTGGTCAGTGAATTGGATAGGATAATGTTATACTTCAAAGCTGTTTCCAAGAAAGTAAGGAAGTGTCCAGACTCTACAAACAACAACATTAAAAGATGAGAGTTCTGCTTGTTGTCCTCATTAAAATCTAGATTTCTGCTTCTTCCCTCAGATATGAAACAAAAATAATTGCAATAATAATCATTGTAAGATTTGGGAACCAAAAGATTTTCACATCATGTATAAGCCTATAAATTGTCATCTCTTTTCAGAACAGGCACTTCTGACACGTCTTCAAATTCAACTTTCACTGCAGGTATCAACTGTGAACTAGAAATCAATGAATGTTTGTCAGAGCCTTGTCTGAATGATGGAGCCTGTCATGATATTCTAGGTGGCTATTACTGTTCCTGTCCACTGGGTTTCCTTGGTGATCACTGTGCCATCAACAATGATGAATGTGCAAGTCAACCATGCCTCAATGGGGGGCAGTGCCTAGATAATATCAATGGGTATGTCTTCTCACATACTGGATGACTTGTTTACAGCAGATGCCAAGTTTTTTGTCATTTTTTTCCCTTTCACTTAACTTTCTGAAATCACCTCTAGGTCATGTAGATAAATATGTCGATTTCGTGACTGGACGCTGATTCACTGATTGCAACTGGAACTTGGATGAATTTGGAAATATAGCACAAAACCAAACCAAACCCTAAGTAAATCTTACTCTTATTTCAGCAGTTTAGTATCTAAGATCCATTTCCTCTATTTAAGATCTATAATGTTAGTCCCAATAGTTTAGTTCATAAGGTTGCTTTCAGTTTGAATATGCATTATTTCATCATTTTTATAAAGTTATCAATACTATAATATTAGTTTTTTCTTGTATTTACTTTGCTATAATGGATTACACAGGGAAAATTCTTATGAGTTATTTAATAAATCAAATTCAGAAGCCTTTCCATCAGACAAGAAGCAGTTGGGAGTAATGATAAGGACAGTCCTTACAGACAATATAATATATAATAGAATTATATTAAATTAAATTAAATTATATATAATAGAAATGATGGTTTTGATAAAGTTAGGTTACCCAAAACCAATTGGGAATTCAAGCTTTAAAATATACATCACTGCATTCTCCTATCAGAAGAGACCAGAGATCACACTCAGGTAAAATACCCATTTCAGTTTGCATTAAGCAATAGTTTTTATTTATGCTGTTGTGCAAGGGACATCATCAAGCTGTCTATTGAACTAATGGTTCTGGAGACAAGGTCAGGATTTCTGCTCTTGTCAGATAAAAAATTGCAGCTTTGTAGAGGTCACTCAGGTTGGAATATGTGAATTCTCAAAAATCCAAATCATTTTGCTATTTTCTTTGGCAGAGCAATTTTTGAGTCCAGATGTTAGGGTAAGAGATTATTAAAAAGTTATAACAAGCTGGAAGAGATTCCTTGGCCAATGCATATCTTTAAATAAAGCTAGTACAGTATCTCAGCCCCTCGGTTAAGTTTTTGGGAAGAGAAAGATGAATACTAGCAAGTGGTGCCTTTTGACTCATTCATCCTGCCACAGATTCCCCTGGTGAACCCATGCAGAAAATGCTGGGCATTATTTGCTAAAGAAATTAATGCAGGCATGACGCAAAATACAGCAAAGTGCTTTTGAATATTTTATGGTGCTCTTTATGTGCAGATATTCTCTGTATATAACAGGATGTTTCAACAGGATGTCTTTACCAGTGTTCCAGAGAGTAATTTCTTCGGTATAACTTCATCTATCTTTGATAGCATTGCATAACTACAATATAAAATATATCACATATTCCAGTTCTGCTACTTGTAAATGTGAATGCATTTTTCTTCTGCAACAATTACATTCCATATCATACTTACTTACAACCATGCAAACGTTTATGCAACTAAAAGCACAGATGCAACAAACAAACCATAACAGTACATAAGTTCAATGGAAAATACACATACACACATACACGTACACACAAAATATAGCTAAATATTCCAAGAAAACCAAGTTAATATGATATAAATAATCATAACTTGACTTTCACTATCGCAGACAACTTAAACCATTCCAGTCCTCCCTAATATATACCTGGTGAGGTAATAGTAATCTTAATACAGTAGTCACATATTTGAATATATGTATGTGTGTATGCTTAAATATATTTGCATATATACACTATATATATATCTCTCTCTAATATATATATATATATATATATATATTAGAGAGAGTGTGCCTGTAAGTATTTCTTAAATCCTAAAAGCCTTTGTTTAGAAAAACAGCATTGTCAGATCTGGTCCTCCATGTTTTTCAATTTTTCAGTCCCAAACCACTCAAATGTATAACTCTTGTATTCAAAAGAATCCACTGAATGAGTATTTTCAATTAAATTAAGAAGTTTTATTTTTTTGTCAATCTTTTCTTGAAGTGTGACCTACATATATAGCCTACCATCCTGTCACAGAAGAATATATATCCTACCTTAATTTTATGTAGTGTGTTGTTTTAATGAATATTTTTATGGAAATTGTAATAGATGAAAGCCCCAAATTGTCTCAGAGGAATTGTAGTAGATTTTTTTAAACAATGCTAGTCTCAGCAACAGCTTTGTTTTCAGCCTGGTCTTGAAGTTGGATCGATGAGGAGTGATTATGTTTGTAGACAATTAGATGCAAATTCAGGAATACGCATAGAAATGCAAATATGAAAAAATAAAACTAGGGTTCTCAGTGTTTCCATTTCAGTTTTGAATGACTAGTAAAACATGGGAAAAGTTTCATTTCAGGATTAAAGATGATTTAAAAAGAGTCCACCTTCAAAGTGACCCATCACAGTTCCGTGTGAAAATGAAGAATCAAATTAATAGGTAAAATGGGGGGGGGGGGGAA